ACCACAAACCCATCGTAGTTGGTTATCTCTACCGCAATCCTAGCGCTGATAATATATGGTATGACAACTTTACCAATATGATGGATATGGTGTTCAACAATGCAGGGGAAATTATACTTCTTGGGGACTTCAATATAAATGCCCTAAAATCCAACAAGACGTGGGAAGACATAATTACCTCATTTAATCTCAAACAATTAGTCAAACAAGCTACTAGAATAACTAAATCGTCGTCAACCCTTATAGACCATATTTATGCAACATGTCCTGACAACATTATAGAATGCAAGGTACCCACTACAGCACTGAGTGACCATTACCCCGTAATTTGTGTGTGGAATAAAAAAGGCGTAAAAACTGTTAAACAAAAGCATGTAAGTATTAAATTTAGAAGCTATAAAAATTTTAACCAAGATGCATTCCAACTAGACTTGTTCAATTCACCTCTTGACCACGTTTATCAGCTCTCTGATTCAGATGACGCTCTTGAATATTGGCTGAAAACCTTCTCTAGTGTATTTGATAAGCATGTGCCAGTTAAGGCGGTCCGTGTAAAACATCAAACTAAATCCCCTTGGATCACGCAGGAGGTAGTTGCAATCATGAGAGAGCGAGATAGGGCGCATAAAAAGAAGGATATAATCACATACCGAAATCTGCGAAACAAAGTCCAGTATACCATTCGTAAGGAAAAAAAGAACTTTTTTAAACAGCTAATAGTAGATAAAAGAAACAGCAAAAACATATGGAAGGCAATCAATACATTGACAAACAAAAGTACTTCCACGCGTTTGCTGACATCTAATATAACATCGAATGATTTCAGTAATTTCTTCGAAGCCAATATAGAAAATGTAAAAGCCACAATGCCAAACTGTCCATGTGATTTATCACTGCTATCAGCATTTTGTGAAAATAAATGCCCTGAAGACATTCCTTCTGACATTCCTCTCATGACAGTTGCGGAAGTTTTTATACATTTCAACAGTCTCAGAAACAATAATACGTCCGGTTTAGACGGAATCAGCAATAGGATCCTTCGTAGTGCTGCCCCAGTTATTTGTGAGTCGATGACCTTTATTTACAACCAATGTCTTGTCAAAGGTTACTTCCCATCTGCATTTAAGATTGCCAAAGTGTATCCACATCTAAAATCTGGTTCATTAGATAGTAGTATTCCAGGTAACTATAGACCAATCTCCCTGTTATCATCACTATCGAAACCACTAGAGAAACATATTCATAATGTAACTTTTCAGCACCTAGATCACAACAAACTTCTAGTGGATAACCAATCAGGTTTTCGACCAAACTATTCTTGCCATACTGCTTTAACTAACATGATTGAAAAATGGCACCATAATGTTAATGATGAGAAAATATGTGGCGGAGTGTTTATAGACTTTAAGAAAGCTTTTGATATGATAGACCATAACATTCTTATAAAAAAATTAGAAACAATGAAATTTAACCCTAGACTATTACAGTTAATAAAATCCTTTTTGTTAAATAGAAAACAAATAATCTGTTACAATAAATCACTATCGCAAGCCACTGAATTAAATACTGGGGTACCTCAAGGCTCGATTCTCGGTCCTCTGTTATTCAATATCTACATAAATGACCTTCCTTTATGTCTGTCGTCGTCCTGCGATTTATTCGCAGACGACTGTACCATCTATGCAAATGCTCAAACATGTAATTTACTAGAGTCCTCATTACAACAAGAATTAAATAATGTAGTCCAATGGAGCAGTGCAAACCGTATGCAAATAAACATTAATAAAACCAAATCTATGCTCATAACGACCAGGCAAAAACTATACAGTTTAAATTCTCAGAGAACGCTTCAACTCTACATTGGGGGCACTCAAGTAGAAAATGTAACTGAGCACAAGACACTGGGGTTGGTAATTGATGCAAATCTAACATTCAACTAACACGTACAAGCACTTGTGAAACAAACAGCTAAAAAGGTTTACCAGCTTGCAAAAATTAAAAACTTTCTTGATGAACACACAAGAAAGATATTCTATATTTCTCACATCCAGACACATGTAGACTATTGCTCTACAATATGGGATGGCTGTTCCAGCTCTGTTATCAAGCGACTCACATCACTGCAAAAGCGCGCCATTCGCTTAATTAGTAACAATCATGGAACACTGAGCTCCGAAACATATAAAGGTCTTAGACTACTACCGCTTCGTGAACGTTTACTTTTCAATAAGGCAAAATATACTTACAGAATATTATCTCAAAAGGCTCCATGTTACTTATGGCCGTTGTTCAAATATAATGAACGCCATAGTAAGCGTCTAAACATATTACACATCCCTAAACCTAGGATAGACCTTTATAAAACAAGTCTGTCATATTCCGCAGCTCAATTGTGGAACTATCTACCACAGCAAATCAAAAGTACCACTAGTCCATATACATACAATCGGAAACTGTTCGAATATTATCTGAGCACCGATTATATGCCCCCATAGAAGATAAAACATATGTGAAAAATAGCGCTCATCTTTCTTAGATTTGTTACAACTAATACGTTTTACTGTAGTTAGAAATGTGCACATTCTAGTGCTTGTATTGATTATTTTGATGCTATTGCTAACTTTTAATATTACTTGATGTGTGAATGAAATGATGTAAGAATGGAGGGAAACCTCGAAGGGCAGAATGTTAGACGGGCCTGCGTGCCCAATTCTTAACCCTTTAAAAATAAAGTTTGTTCGTTCGTTCGTTCGTTCTTTATCTCTCTCTCTCTCTCTCTCTCTCTCTCTCTCTCTCTCTCTCTCTCTCTCTCTCCCTCTCTCTCTCTCTCTTTCTGTATTTATGTGATATTTCTTCACATTTTATGCTTCGCTATATGTTGATGTCACTATGTAGTAATGCACATGACGTGATACGGCGAAACGTGTATGCCTGGCAATAAATTGAGCAATGCCTTGTTTGGGTCCGCATTATTTAAAATCAATTCTGTCTTTCAAAAACATCGATCGCCTCTAGCAGTATGACGATAGAGATGATGGCCATGACTTAAGCGTTCATGTGGCAGGAACCACAGGCACTTTCCCACGCGTGTTTGTCTAGTGATTCTATTAGCATGATCTGGCGGGATGAGGCAGGCTCTATACGCAGACAGGGGATTGCCAAACGTCACTGTGTTTATCATTATCCCAGAGCACGTGAGTTTTGTTGGCGGTCCAGTTCATGTTTCGCGGGCTATTTACTTACTGCCCGACCTCAGAGGGGTGTCACGTTGCCTCCAGTTACATCAGCGCCGATGTTGCGTGTTATACACTACACGAATACACAGCTTGCAACGACCTTAGAACATCTAGAACTGACCCTAACCCAAACCCCTATACCAGCAGCCTGAGCCTAGGTCACACGAGAGACTCCTTTGAAGAAGGCAATGCAACGTGACACCCCTCTGATCTAGATCAGACTAAAAAATGTGTGTAGATGGGCCGGTACAAGTGAACAGGTCCTTGCTGGCAATAGAAGATCTGATAGATGTCATGCCTTAGTTGCAAATAGCAGGCCCTTGGATAACGCCGACATTAGATCAATATGACAGACGGTGAGAGGATTCTGGGAGCAGCGTGTAACATCACCGCTATGAATGTGAGCATTAGGACTACAAGATAGCACAGCGAGGCATGAGAGGAATATCGGACTTACACGAGCACCGTACTGGCACTTTTAACCGCGGGACGTTGATGTATTTGTTGAAGAGGGTGGAGGAGAGTGGGGAGAGGGGGGGGGGGATCTGAGCATCTATAGACGTGTCCAGATTTATGTGAAAGTAACCAAGCTCATAATTAATAACTGATTTGCTCTCTTTGTCTCCCCTTGCTCTCTGGTTCATCTCTCTCTCTCTCTCTCTCTCTCTCTCTCTCTCTCTCTCTCTCTCTCTCTCTCTCTCTCTCTCTCTCTCACGCACACACACATTCATAAACACACATCCACTTTGTGTGTCATTTACTCTCTCTCTACACCTTCCCCCTCTCCCCCCTCCTTTCCATGTCACCCCATACACGTAGCCACACACACGCACTCTCACTTTCCTATCACTCCACCCTCATGCCGCCCTTTAGAATAATACCACTTAATCAGCCCCTCTTCCTCAGAGAACCTAATAAAGGCGAGAGCTGACCATTAGCTGACCGTGCGGCCGGACTGACAATTCTGTGGCCGGCCGACCAACACTCATTGCCAGTTTGTCCCTAGAGTGTACACCAAACACTTTGATGAAGCTCTTCTCGTCTATATCCTTCCGGCTCGGTGACTAACCATTGTTGAATGTCGGGATATTAGAGAACTGTATTTCCGTGTGGATTCCTTAGCCTTATTTGCAGAGGGAGAAGATGGACAGACTGCTATTTAACAAGCATGTTATTTAAAGGCGAATAAGTGAAGATATGAATTCTTCTTCTTCTTTTTCTTCTTCTTCTTCTTTTTTTCTTCTTCTTTTTTTCTTTTTCTTCTTCTTCTTCTTCTTCTTCTTCTTCTTCTTCTTCTTCTTCTTCTTCTTCTTCTTCTTCTTCTTCTTCTTCTTCTTCTTCTTCTTCTTCTTCTTCTTCTTCTTCTTCTTCTTCTTCTTCTTCTTCTTCTTCTTCTTCTATTATATTTTTCTTCTTCTTCTTCTTCTTCTTCTTCTTCTTCTTCTTCTTCTTCTTCTTCTTCTTCTTCTTCTTCTTCTTCTTCTTCTTCTTCTTCTTCTTCTTCTTCTTCTTCTTCTTCTTCTTCTTCTTTTTTCTTCTGCCTACCCCTGTTCACGAGATGGAACCGTTGAACCAACATCGGGAACTTAACAACATTCAGTAAATCTGTATCATCGTCACCTCTACTTTTGTCATCATGCATGGTGGGGAAGAACAACTTTTGATGGGTATCACCGGCCATTGATATTCTTTGTGGATGTATAATTCTCTGTTCATGTTGTGAGACATGTAATAATAACATCTTCATTTCTTGTGTTTTCACAGGTCTATGCACACTAGTGGGCATTATCTTATACATCGGCAGCATCACAGGTGAAGTCGGCAACAAACCAAGAACTTCTATAGAGGAACCGCGATTCCTCTACGATTATGGTTCCTCATTTTACATGGCTGTAGGCTCTTTCGTGCTGACAGAGCTCTCCGGTGTGTTTTCAGTCTACCTGTACATCTCCAAGCACAAACTTTCCCAGAGAGTCAAACGCTTAGCTCTGAAATCTGATCATAATGACAGGAACCATCAAACGGCCCGCCACATCAGAAGAGGGCCTCGCGAAAACTCGCAAGATCGTCTGCATTCTCGCGACCCCTCTGCAAGTAGGTCAGAAAGCTATTTTACGTACACCCCTATCTCGGACACTTCCCACGAACTCTCCAATTACACATTTACTAGGGAGAACACAAACAATACTATATCGACAACAGCAGAACTGCATGCTCCCAAAGAAAACTCTACTCCTACGCTGGCTGCTGCATGCATCATAAGAACAAGCTCGCCACCAATGGTTGTAACATCAATTGACATTGTTAGACGCACAACTCCAGTCTGATTTGTGAATATCTGTATCATTTTTTGTAAGGAATGTTTCCGTTCATGTGGTATATATAGGGTAATAGTGAGAAAAATCAGACATTTAAAGAGATGAAAGATTCACATGGTAAGACCAGTAAAAAATCTATCAACCTGTGATAAGCAAAACCAAGAGTTAGTGATCACGGGAAAGAGCAAACAGTACTATTTATTGCAATTGTTCATGTGGGATTGGTAATGAATGATATATTTTGGTTGCAGTGGGATGTGGATAGACTGTACGTCAATAGAATAGTTTTTGATTCGGGTTTTGTGATATGGTCATTATGTATATATCACATAAAGTGGCTAAACAACGAGGGTAGGTTATGATATTTGAAAATATGTCTATAATAGAAATTCGCTGTGAAACGACCGTAGGTTGTCACTGAGAAGTTATATATATATATATATATATATATATATATATATATATATATATATATATATATATATATATATAAAATAGAAATATACTCAGTACATATGGTAGACAGAGTTTAGTTGTGTGTGTGTATATATATTAATACAACACGAGTTAGTCGGAAAGATTTGATCACAAAAAATATTCTCAAATAATGGAAAAAGATCAGGGAAGCTTTTGATGGTACAAACACATTTGTACAAACATTATAAAAAGCCCCTAAACTCATGTAGGGCAGTTTTTAGTTCACTGGATATACAGATACTATATGCGAGGTGGTTCTATAACAGACATATAGATATTAGAAAGCTGATAAACAACGAAAGTGTGTGTGTGTAACAGAAATGTGTCCTAAAAAAAGGAAGGATAAGTCGCGATACAAAAACGATATGTGTAGATACATAATAGATGTGTGGTGTGGTTGATCAAATGTGTTTTATTGAAAGTTTATGAACAATGAGGATACTCTATGATTTAGCAAGACAATGTATTATAGAAGTCGCCAAACTATAGGATTAAATAGTAATTAATCAAATATATTTTATACAAAGTCGCTCATTTATCTTAAACTGCACAGTGCGTGGCGACAGCATTAGCTATGTGGCCCTAAATCCTCAGGTCTCAAACTCTTTCCCCGCCCACCCACACAGCAGCATCGGTAGATGCAGGCAGTAATAGCAATCGTGGTGGTGGTGGCATGTGCCCTATGCCTTCAATGAAATCATGTCAGCGTTGGGTAGAGTGACCATAAGGTTTTTTTTTTTAAAGTGTTTAAACGAATAAGGTAGTCAGTTGCATACCAGCCCTCTTTGGTCACTCTTGTTCACACGCATCCTTAGTCGATCATCATCGTCGTCATCGTCATCATCAATATTATTATCGTGGTCGTCGTCCTTTTATACCGGTTATAAACTACAGTTACCTCGCATTCGCATTATCGTCATCATCATCAGGTGCCTTGCCGATGGTGAGGGCGATCATGCCTCTCCACAATCTGCGATCTCCTGCAGCATGTATCAGTTCGTGTGCCGACACACCTCCATGCCATGCAACAAGACTGTCAAGAATCTTCTTTCGTTGTCTTCCTCTATCTCTCCTTCCCCAGATCTTTCCAGTGGTCACAACACGTTCTATTTTCCCTCTTCTCATAACATGGCCGAAAAGTGATGACTGTCTCCTTCTGATATCAGTGATAATTTGTCTTCGGGCTCCCGCCTCTTTCAAAACCTCTTGGTTTCTCTTTTTAGCTGTCCAAGGCATTCTAAGCATTCTTCTGTAAAACCACATCTCCGAGGCCTCAAGAAACTGCCTACCGATTGTCCAGGAATCCCAACTATATTCGCATTATAGCTCACATAAATAATGATGCTGGCTTCCTTTGTGGGTGTCAGTAACATGGGCAAGTAAATATGTCCTGACGTTTATTATTATGTCTAGATATGTCTAGATATGTCCTGACGTTTATTACTATGTCTAGATATGTCTAGATATGTCCTGACGTTTATTACTATGTCTAGATATGTCTAGATATGTCCTGGCGTTTATTATTATGTCTAGATATGTCCACCGAAGAATATAAAGTGGAGCGTTTTCCGTTAGAGAAGAAGGCATATATTTACGTCACTTTACCTCTTCGATAAAGATTGCATGCGCAAGAACAACGAGACCACAAACAAATAGATGCAATAGATTTAAACTATTGAACACCTCTTAGTAACACTACTTTTGGAATGCATACACTCTACCTGTAGTTCACTTCGTCATGAGAGTGACAAACTGAGAAAGATCAAGAGTGAAAACAGGCATAGATGGACAGACAGTCATTGGTCAATGAGCGAACGAGAGAGAGAGAGAGAGAGAGAGAGAGAGAGAGAGAGAGAGAGAGAGAGAGAGAGAGATAGAGGGCGAGAGAGAGACAGAGAGACAGAGAGAGAGAGAGAGAGAGAGAGAGAGAGAGAGAGAGAGAGAGCGACATTCGTACAGATGAGAAATTTTCTAGTGTTACGAAAACTCCTACTTTTCTTTTTGTATTTCAAAATCTGTGTCAGTTTACCCATCATTATCTACCGTACCGCCTAAAAAGGTGTATGACTTAGCAAAAACATACTTGGCAGCTGCGAAGATGCTGTTTCATAGACGAATTGTGCGAATACCCAGGACAGGTAAAAGGAGTAATGAAGACGTCCTGAAAGAAACTAACTTACAAAGAGAACTGATTATCCATATCAAAAAGAGACAATCTACATTTTTTGGGTCATGTGATGAGAAGAAGAAAACTGGAGTACATGGTGACAGTAGGAAAGTTAGAGGGCAGGACAGGCACAGATAGAGACTGAGAGAGAAGATGCTAGGCAGTTTAACATCATTGCATCCAGGACCATCTGTCCGTTCGTCTTTTGGCTGTTTAATATTCCGGTTTGTGTGTGTGTGGAAAGGGGGGGGGGGGGTGTCGCCGTGGCGTTTGCGGCTAGACGCCCGCTTGTGGATCGGAAGGTCGTGGGTTCGCGCCCTGAGGGAACCGGAAATTTTTTTTTTCTTTTAAAAAATGACCTTGATTGGAATATCATCTGAACCTACACCATTACTTTCCTTCAGGAGATTAATAACTTTCCGAATTTCCTCAGTTGATGATATCGCACATTTGAGATCACATTCTACCACTAAAGGCTGCATTTCTGGGACGGATCTTTTGGGCTGGTCTATTTAGAAGTTCCTAAAAGTTACATCCGTCCATTTGATCTTTTTTGTTGTTGAGAGCTTTTTTTCCCTAAACTATTTCTGATTGATCCAGTTGGTTGACTAAGTTTACCACTTTTTTTTTTTTGATGCTACTGCTAAAGTCTCTGTTGTCTGGTTTTGCTGGGCTGCTTTCGCTTCTTTTGTCAGGTGGTTAATTTTTTTTTTTAATGCTCCTTTAATCGCGTTTGAAATCGATTCTGTGTATTATTTTTTTTTTAATGAGCACTAGCTTTATCAGCTCTAGTTTTGAAATTGTTTAGGTCTGTATTTGGATGTAAGACCATTAGGACAAATTCCATACTCCTGTTCATCTTCACAAGAAGTTATAATTGACCTACCTGCCACGCCTACATCAGCATGCCGAAGTCTATAGCTTTACACTTCACATTCACCTACTGCAGACCACCTTTTTATAAAAGGCATGTTGATCCTTTAGTCAGTGACACTTGTTGCAACGGCCTGTGATTTCTACACTTTCCCTTTCACAATGTCGCAACGGCCTGTGATTTCTACACTTTCCTCTAGCACAATGTTGCAACGGCCTGTGATTTCTACACTTTCCTCTAGCACAATGTCGCAACAGCCTGTGATTTCTACACTTTCCTCTAGCACAATGTCGCAACGGCCTGTGATTTCTACACTTTCCTCTAGCACAATGTCTGGACTCTCGTCTGTGAAGACGGACAGGTGCCAGCAACACTTCGCGACAACAGAGACACGGCATTTGGAGCTGGTGAGCACACGGCAAATGCTGTAAATAAAAATTAAAAAAATGACAAGTGTGGCTAGTCATCTTCTCAAGAAACTGGCGATGCAAGTTGGATTTGTTACCACTAGAAGTTTGATTATGTTTGTTTTAGTATCCAGAAGCCATGAGTTGTTAACCCTTAGGCTCGGTATTATGGATATCGCAACCTTTCGGCCTTGATTCCATTGTAAATACCGTAAATCTGGGAGAAAATGTGGCTTTTCTGCCTACCCCGGGGATTGAACCCGGACCACAAGGTGTTTGCCACCCGGTCTCCGCGCAATCCGGTTTAGCCAACTACGCTAGATAGCCAGGCAAGTTTGATTATAAATACACCAAAACAAAACAAGTTTGAAAAATAAAAATAAATAAAGGCGCGCTTATTCATCAGAAAAGAGGTTGCTAAAATGCTACGTAGAACCTGATGTATGGCAAAGAATCTTGGAATGTCAGTGAAACAATTTGTAAGCACACAGAGGTGTGGTTTGTGAGACGAATGTTACGAATACCTTGGACGGCTGGAAGAGTCCAGCTGTGTACGTACTGCAACTGCACATGACAGAATTGATCTTTACCCACTGAGTGTGAGGGAGGGGGAGGCAAAAAGTAAAACTGAAGATATTCAAAACCCGCACCTAAGGGCTCTGGGCGCCACTTGAAACGGAGGGGAAAGACAAGACGAGTAGGTTACCAGATGACAACGGGTACTGTTATTATACTAACTCCACGCTAACTGTTGACGAGGGAGACCCAGATTTCGAAATTTGAATGATAAAATATAGATCAAAGTATTTCCTAACTTTGGCTACAGTAGTCACTTAAAGGGTTGTGTAGGACAGCAGTAGTCAAATATTGTCAGTCTGGGGCAAAAGTAGTCAAAGTCGTATATATCTATGGCAACAGCAGTCAAAGTATCATCTGTCTATGACAACGTTAGTCAGATGATTATGTTTCTAGGGCAACAGTAGTGAATGTATCATCTGTCTATGACACCCGTAGTCAACGTATTATCTGCCTAGTCCAAGTATTATCTGTCTAAGGCAACGTTTGTCAGATGATTATGTTTCTG